TGCCATTATGGCTTGCAATTGTAATTGCCTTTTTTTTTGTCTGGCTATTGATTATGAAAATTGATAAACATCTTTCACTACTGTGATTACTCATAATACCATTGTATCATGATTGGTCAACAGAAAAATAATAGAATTCTATATCACCAAAACTACCATTTAATAGAAGATCCTGGAATACTTTTTAAAATTGATACACATACCAGAATTATCTTGGAATTTTTTGAAAACTACAAATGTCCAGGTATTGCTTTTTTTTTCACCAGAGTTCCAGATATGTTTCTAATGAGCAGCCACGTTTAAAAACAACTGGACTATATGAGGAACTTTTACTTTTATCTAGTTTGTTTCGCTTTTTCTATTTCATATTCAGTACTCCCATTTCATTTAGTTTATTTTCCAATTTCTTCATGTCTCCTTTTTTTTATATATATTCTTTCTCAAGCCTTTATCAAGCATAGTAGAAAAGTTCTTTAATACCTTTATATACATAATATGTATAACATATATATTTTAGAAAATTTTGTAAATTTTTGCCTAACTAAAAAATTTAAGATATTTTGATTCCACTTGTTTGACTTAGTATCAATAGGATGCTATTTTTCTCATCTAAAAAAATAGATATGCAACAAGCAACAAAGGCTACTGTATAGCACCCAGAACTATAGTCAATATCTTGTAATAACCTATAATGGAAAATAATTTCAAAAATAATATATGTGTATATACGTAACTGAATCACAAAAAAAAAGGAATTCTACTTTTTGAAATTTAGCAACATTTATCTTTTTGCCAGCTTTTCTAAAAGTCCTATGGACATCTAATAATGAAATATGATACATAAAATTTTAAATATGTTTGTATAGGATGTAAAAATAATATAAATTAATATAAATAGAAACCTGTTATATTTAAATTATTAATGACATCATTCAAGATGCTCCTATTCTTATTTTTTATGCACTTGATAAAATATTCTCAGAAAAATGTTAACATGTCTCACTGTGATTATATATTTTTTCTTTCCCTTATATTTCTTCTGATTTTTGCTTTGTTTCTTTCTTATTAGGTGTCTGATGGTTTATGATGTCTATCTTCTTTGTCATTAAAAATATTCATCTTTGTTTCACTCAAAATAAATTAATTTTAAAAATGCAAATAGTAAATCTAAAAAGTTACTCAAAATCCTCTTTTTTCAATTTGAGAAATTTAAGATATTATCATGATTTTTATCTTTCTTAAAAAATACTTTTTCTCTAGAACTGAAAAGGCTTTAAAGCAGTGACGACACAATGAATACAATTCTGCCCAGACTACTGTCTCTAAAGAAATATTAATAACATTTCTCACTAAAAAGAATCAGGTTGCTTGGAGAAATGTCTGATTCCAGGTCTGAGGTAAGGATAAAAGAGAAGAGAATAAGAGAAGCCTGATTTGTTCTGTATAAAACCAGAAAGATTACTGGGACCTTGTCCAAAGGATACAGGTGATATTGAAAGGCTCTCATTGGCCAAAGATGGGGACAACTGAACATCAAAAATAATAATGACTGTAATGGTATTGTGTAAAGGTGTTGTGTACTATCAAGTATACAACAAATATATCTTATGAGAAAATATAAACATAGGATGTAAAAAATGTAAAGGCACATAAAAAATGAAAAATGAATGTAAAATGGTAAATCAACCAGGAAATGTTTTAACAGTTTGTTAAAAAGCTAAATCCTCACCTACGATTCCATCCAACTATCCCGTTCCTAGGCATTTAGCCAAGAGAGATAAAAGGACATGACCTCACAATAACTTGTATATGAATGTCTACAGCAGCATTATTTGCAATAGCCAAAAACTGGAAATAAAATGAACATTAACAAGTGAATAGATAACAAGCTGTGATCGACTTACACATGGAATATTACTCAATAATGAAAAGAATGAACTGGGCTTCCCTGGTGGCTCAGTGGTAGGGAATCTGTCTGCCAGTGCAGGAGACCAGGGTTTGATCCCTGATCAGGGAAGATCCCACATGCCGCAATAAAGACCCAGCACGGCCATAAACCCTAAATAAATAAATTAAATAGAATAAATAAAAGGAATGAATTATCGATAAACTCAACAGCATGGATGAATCTCAAAATAATTATGCTGAATAAAAGAAGCCACTAAAAACTAGTATATACTTCATGATTTCACTTAGAAAACATTACAGAAAATGCAAACCAATCTATAGTGACAGAAAGTCATTGCCTTGGGATGGAAGGGCAAAGGGCAGGGAGATCAACAATAGCTTTGAGAGAATGGATATGTTATTATCTTGATTGTGCTGATAGTTGCACAGACATATACATACACCAAAACTTGTCAAATTGTAGACTTTATATATGTACAGTCTATTCTCCCTCAATTACACCTTAGTAACGATGTAAAAAATACATGGATTCGAAATGATAAACCTCCTTCACTCTTCCCCACCCAAAAGAAATCTCTCCAGAGATTATTAGGGTGTCAATTCATAAATCTTAAATTTGCTAAATATAGGTAAAGAACTCAGCATTTATCCTGACACTCCTGTACAAACTGTATTTCAAAGTAATCAAATATTAATAGTTACTGAAAGAAAGTCTCTGTAAAGTTTTCTCTATAGAAAATCACAACTAATAAATGCAACAGGAAAAAAGAGATATAAAATCTCTATTTTCCAACTTCACTGAAATAACAGATCTACAGACAACTATCATCAATGGTTCCTAAACCACGAGGTGAGAGGTAGTTGAGGAACTTACCACAATTGACAAGTCAGGCCAACATCATCTGAATCCACTGGTTAATCTTAACCAAAGGAATGCTATGCATCTCCCATTATTTACAATAGGAAATACATGGTACTATTCATGAAGTATTCTCACCAAGAAAACGAACAAATGAATCAAATCAAGTCTTTACTACCAAATTAAACGAAACATCTTAAATAATACCTCAAGGATCCAATCAGCCAAAATACAAAATATGGGGAATTCTTTAGAAGAAATAATCCAGTTTCTACAAAGAATAAATTACATATAAAAAAGTGTGGGATTGGGGATTGTTTAAAATCAGAGAGCCTTATTTTTTAAGGTTTTTCTTCTTTTTTAAAAAATGCTGGTGTTCGCAGCCGCCGCCGCCGCCGCCGCCGCCGCCGCCGCCGCCGCCGCCGCTCTCCAACGCCAGCGCCGCCTCTAGCTCGCCGAGCTCCAGCCGAAGGAGAAGGGGGGTAAGTAAGGAGGTCTCTATACCGTGGCTGGTACAAAGCAGACTGCCCGCAAATCGACCGGTGGTAAAGCACCGAGGAAGCAACTCGCTACAAAAGCCGCTCGCAAGAGTGCGCCCTCTCCTGGAGGGGTGAAGAAACCTCGTCGTTACAGGCCTGGTACTGTGGCACTCCGTGAAATTAGACGTTATCAGAAGTCCACTGAACTTCTGATCCGCAAACTTCCCTTCCAGCGTCTGGTGCAGGAAATTGCTCAGGACTTCAAAACAGACCTGCGCTTCCAGAGCGCAGCTATCGGTGCTTTGCAGGAGACAAGTGAGGCCTACTGGTTGGCCTTTTTGAAGACACCAACCTGTGTGCTATCCATGCCAAACGTGTAACAATTATGCCAAAAGACATCCAGCTAGCATGCCGCATACGTGGAGAACGTGCTTAAGAATCCACTATGATGGGAAACATTTCATTCTTTAAAAAAAAAAAAAATTCTCTTCTTCCTGTTATTGGTAGTTCTGAACGTTAGATATTTTTTTTTCCATGGGGTCAAAAGGTACCTAAGTATATGATTGCAAGTGGAAAAATAGGGGACAGAAATCAGGTATTGGCAGTTTTTCCATTTTCATTTGTGTGTGAATTTTTAATATAAATGCGGGGACATAAAGCATTAATGAAAGTCAAAATGTTTCAGTGAACAAGTTTCAGCAGTTCAACTTTATAAAAATTATAAATAAACCTGTTAAATTTTTCTGGACAATGCCAGCATTTGGATTTTTTTTTAAACAAGTAAATTTCTTATTGACTGCAACTAAATGGTGTTTGTAGCATTTTTATCATACAGTAGATTCCATCCATTCACTATACTTTTCTAACTGAGTTGTCCTACATGCAAGTACATGTTTTTAATGTTGTCTGTCTTCTGTGCTGTTCCTGTAAGTTTGCTATTAAAATACATTAAACTAAAAAAAAAAAAGCTATTTTTTTTTTTGGCTGTGCTGGGTCTCTGCTGCTGCGCGAGGGCTTTCTCTAGCTGCAGTGAGCACGAGCTGCTCTCTAGTTACAGTGCACAGGCTTCTCATTGCTGTGGCTTCTATTATCACAGCAAGTGCTCTAGGCTCATGGGCTTCAGTAGTGATGGTGCACGGGCTATGCTGCCCTGTGTCACGTGGAATCTTCCTGGACCAGGGATCAAACCCATGTCCACTGCATCGGCAGGTGGATTCTTAACCACCGCCAGGGAAATCCTTAAATAACTTTAAAAGGCATATCCCCAAATATAAGGTGTGGAGCTCTTCGCAGACAAACTGAACTGTAAAAAGTATTTTAGAGACAACTCAGGAAAATTAAAAATGAAATAAGTGTTATATGATATTAAGGAATCCCTATTAATTCTACTAATTGTGATAATAGTATTGTGGAGTCTTTCTTTCTTCTCTATTTTCGTTAATGACACATAATACAGAAGTATTTACAGATGGAATTATATGGTATCTGGGATTTGCTTTCAAGTATCACAGTGTGTGCATACACACACACACACACTCACAAAGTGGCAGAAGAAAGGTAGAAGAAGAACAGTAAATTGTTGATAATCGTGAAAGTTAGATCTTGGGTGCATGGGGGTTCATTACACTTACTCTCTCATTACACTATTCAGTGTATGTCTGAAATTTTCCATAATGAAAAGTTGCTAATTTTTAATTAAAAGGTGATCTGGACTCATTGATACACTGGAAATAATAGGACCCAAAGCAACTAACCTCTGTCCTGAAGCGAGGGCAATGGGAGACTGTCCATTGGGCGGCCGAGGCTCCTCACAGGTCTTCATCTCCACCTCTACCTTATCCAGACACTGAAATAAAAACCATGGAGACCTAAGCATCTGCATGAAGCCCCACATAGCACAGACTGTCTTATCCATCTCTGGGCTCCAGCACCCAGTCGAGTACTGTGTCCACAGTGGACCAACAATAAATGTTTGTCAAATGAATGAACAAACAAAAATACAAAGAGAGGCCTCATCTTCCCCCTTCTATTTCTATTAGTAGCAGAAATTCATGACAAGCATTAGCTCACAGCAAAAAATGAAAGTGTATAAGTCCGAGTTATAGAGATATTACTATTCCTGGGGATTCCAGTCCTTAGGGGGTGTGTGTGTGTGTGTGTGTGTGTGTGTGTGTGTGTGTGTGTGTGTGTGTGTGTGTGTGTGTGTGTGTGTGTGTGTGTGTGTATCGTTACTATTCCTGGGGATTCCAGTCCTTAGGGTGTGTGTGTGTGTGTGTGTGTGTGTGTGTGTGTGTGTGTGTGTATATCAGTTACTATTCCTGGGGATTCCAGTCCTTAGGGTGTGTGTGTGTGTGTGTGTGTGTGTGTGTATCAGTTACTATTCCTGGGGATTCCAGTCCTTAGGGTGTGTGTGTGTGTGTGTGTGTGTGTGTATCAGTTACTATTCCTGGGGATTCCAGTCCTTAGGGTGTGTGTGTGTGTGTGTGTGTGTGTATCAGTTACTATTCCTGGGGATTCCAGTCCTTAGGGTGTGTGTGTGTGTGTGTGTGTATCAGTTACTATTCCTGGGGATTCCAGTCCTTAGGGTGTGTGTGTGTGTGTGTGTGTCAGTTACTATTCCTGGGGATTCCAGTCCTTAGGGGGTGTGTGTGTGTGTGTGTGTGTGTGTGTCAGTTACTATTCCTGGGGATTCCAGTCCTTAGGGTGTGTGTGTGTGTGTGTGTGTGTGTATCAGTTCCCAAAGGGCTTTTAGCTGAGAATCACCCAATAGTCAACGTGAATAAACTTCTAATTTTTCCTCCAACAGGAATTCAAAGGAAATGTAAAGACAGAAACTGTTATCAGCTTCTATCAGGACAGCAAAACTTGTTATAAAAACCAAAATTCAAAGCAAGACCAGCTCAGGACTCGTGTCTCAGAGCTACCTGCTCTACTGCACAGCAGTTCTAGAAAAAACCCAGACCACAGTCACCCCATCTCACAGCGGAGCTCACAAGCCAGATGGAAGCACTCACACTCCCAGGAGGGAGAGCCTGTCTAACTCCTCCCCACCCTCTCTCAGCTCCTTTAAAACCTTACCCCCGCCTTCCCCACTTGATTACTTGCAATCAAGAAAGGCCATTACCAAGCAAATTGGGTGTGTCTTCAACTTTGTCCACTGGATCTGAAAGAGGAAAGCAAAGACTCAGGGCTATGGGAGGCAGTCCTCACGAGGGCAGGCCTGCTGGCCAAAGAGAGCAGCAGCCCTCTGACCACATTCTCACCCGGATCGACGCCCTGTTGCAGTAGACCCGAGTGATGGCTAGCCAGGTGGGGAGCTCCAGCACATTCTGTAGAACCTCTTCATCCAGCTCCAGGTTGGTCAGCTGACCCTCCCCTTTCAGGGTGCTCAAATTGATTTTGTCCGGGGAAAGATTCTTAGTGAATCTGAAAAGAGTGATGGTAAGCAGCTATTATTTCCATGGAAATCTGCAAATGAGCATTATAAACAAATAACACGTCTCAATATGGATAAATGAGAAAGTTAAAGAATGAATGTGGACTAACAACCACACTCTCTCTAGACAGTGTAAGATGTTAGGTGAGACATATTCAGTCACAATCGCGTCGTCTTTCTACTCAAGAACCCACAATAACAATTCTGGAGAAACGGTTATAGCAGCAGCAATATAGCCTTTGATATAATTCCCATATAAAACCAAAACAACCAGATGGCAACTTAAAAGCTCATGGTTTAGTTGATAAGTTGTGTATGACTCTTTTTGCAACCCCATGGATGGCAACCTGCCAGGCTCCTCTGTCCATAGAACTTCCCAGGCAAGAATACTGGAGTGGGTTGCCATTTCCTTTTCCAGGGGATCTTCCTAACCCAGGGATCAGAATTGGGCCTCAGGGATTGGAGGCTTTCTTCACCAACTGAGTCACCATGGAAGCCCTTGAATAACATTAAAAACAAAACTGTAAGATAAAGCATCCTCATAAACCCCATATACAAGCAGGAGGGGAAAAGAACAATAACAGCCACAAGACATGAGTGCTATAAGCAGTTGTGCAAATCAACAAAGAAGAAAACAACAGGGTGTCAGAGAAACAGAGAACAGAAGGACCCCAAGATGACCAAGTACTCAGTGAAGAGCAATGTGGATCAATTTGAGAAAAGTAACAGAAACTGGAGGGGTTTTGGGCAAAAGGACCAAAAGAGCTGAAGCAATCTAACCCTATAAACTCATGGAATTCACCAAGGCTCCTTCCTAAGATGGGTCCCCACACTGAGAAAAACTTCTGGGAGAGGAATCCAAACTGAACAAGACAGAAATGAAGAAAACAGATAGTCCAAATAAAAGTTGGGCAGGGGGGCGGTGAGTTAGGGGGTAACAGACCAGGACCTATCAGAAAGCAAGCCATTATATGTTTAAACACTACTTGAAACAATAGAAGAGGGAATTCTATGAGGTGAGGATATAAAACAGTAACAGATTAATTACTGGCTTGTTAAGTAGGGTAAAGCAAAACCCCAGATCCTTACATATATCTTTACTGATGTGAAAAAAGAACACAACCACTTAGGGCCTTGCCAAAGGAACTGAACCTGAATGTCATCACACTACTGGGTCCTGTTGCTCATTTGCAGGAAATATAAAGGAAAACTTCTGAACTGTACCCTAAGTGTGCAATCAGCAGAATTCAGGCCATGGGAAACTCTACAGGTCAAGGGGCCTTGATATAAACAATTCACACAGGCCTGTCCTCTCACTGTTTCACACGGTATCCCTTCACATCCTGCCGACGATGCCAATTGTATTGCCGATCCTGTTCCTGATGCCAGTGGTCTTGCTGTTCACACTGTTCGCTGAACCCAGGGTAGGCAAAGCATAAGCTAAGAGGCTGGAAGAAGACTCAAGGAGCTGTAAGACCTGCAGACACGTTTAGTCTCTCCTGACTGGCAGGGCAGCCGTAACACAGCCTCTCTCCTGGCTGACGCAGCAGCTGTAGCAACAGCCATAACATAACCAAAACATAGCCATAACATAACTTCATATAACATAACTATGATGCCACTCCAATGTAGAACCAATGCAGCGGCAGCCAGGGCTCTCATGGTGAGGCTCATACAGGCTACTGCATAAAGTAGTCCATGACCAAGTGAGTACCTCGTGACATGCATGCGCAGTGCCGTAAGTGATCTCTGCTGTTACACAGCCATGCAAAGTCATTGTTTACAGCACATGGGGTGAGAGGGTGTGACAGCGTGGGGCCAGAGAGCCTGACTAGTGCCATCTTGCTAATTTCCCCACACACACTGTCTCCAGCCCTTGCTCCTATGCTCTTGCCTCCCACCCCTCTTCCTGGAGCACCTTCATCACGATTTGCCGTTGAAGACTCAACTCTGACTTCTCACTGAGACCTTCTTTCCTTAACTGCTTCAGTGTTTAAACTGCATGTGAAACTCATACCTTCTGCCTCCCTGGAATCTGTAATACACATTCCGGTAATCATCAGAGAGGGTCTTGGGTGTCCTCTAATTTTCCCATCTGTAATCACTGAGGTCAGGGGCTGAGTGTCAGCCACCCCTCCTGATCACATGGTTAACTGACAGAATACCAGCCTTCCGGGACTTCCCTGCTGGCCCAGTGGTTAAGACTCTGAGCTCCCAGTGGAGGGGGCCCAGGTTCGATCCCTGGTCAGGGAACTAGATCCCACATGCTGCAACTAAGATCTGGTGCAGCCAAATAAATGAATAAATATATAAAAATTAAAAAAAAAAAAAGAATACCAGCCTTCCTACACACCCTGTAGCAACTGCCCTGCTGACCGACTACTCCCAGCTCCCTTCTCTCATCTGTGGGCTGATCAACTTAAGGCCAGGTCCTCAGAGCGTCACCCCGGCTCCCGCGTGACAAACTATCTGATGAACCTCACTGTGTAAGTTCTCGCTGCTGTTGCCTCTCACAGTCACTCTTTTCTCGCCAACAATGAATCCCACTTCTCCCTCCATCTGTAACTATACTTAGCGCTTGCACATATTAGATGCTAATAGTTGAATTTATAGAGTTATGTGTTGTTTACCAACGTTTTTCCCCACACATATCCTTTCGTTTTTACTCAGCTGTGTTTCCGTGTTTTTGGTTTCCCTTGAATCCTAAAATCATGACTGGCAAGAGTTTTATCTCTACACTTTTCTTCTACGGTGACTAAGATGGTACCATGTAAAGGGGCTCTGTAACAATTTTTTAAATGACAGTAAAAAAAAAAAATTAGAAGCTTAAAAACATACACAGTACTGTATGATATTAAGAGACACATAGAAATGCACTGGCATGATAACAACAAGTTCTGGAAAGTGCTTGCCTGTGGGACATGGGGAGGGGTCCACAGGAAGTGTCACCTGGATGGGCAACGCTTATTTCTCAAGTTGGGAGGTAACTGCATGGCTCTTCATTATATTACTCTTTATACCTTTCTGAATAGCAAATATTTTACAGTAAATCTACCTAAGATGTCTATCAGTGACCTACTGTATATAGGTACTGTTGGGAGAGCTACTCCTGCACGCGTCTCTCACATTCCTACATGTCTTGTTGGGTAAGAAAAACACAAAACACACGACCTTGAGCGCTCCTGACCCAAGCCGCTTCTCAGGGCTGTGTTAGGGAAGAGCAGCTTTGAGGGATGAAACAATGTTCCTCTCCAGTACAAAGAACGGGCGTGCTTACTACGTACCATGAAAGCAATGGATTCCCCAAACTCAGAGCTCCACTCCCATAGCACATGTACAGGCACCCGTCTGGGCCCGTTCACACCAGTCCCGTGGGACCTACGGGGACTCAAGGGAAGTAGGGCAAACCTATGTTTACACTGCTTGCAGGGCCATGACTAATAAAGTCCTTTCTCTCTGACCCAGGAGTCTTGTGCTCTGCCACCAGCAAGCGAGAACTGCAGTGGGCTAGTAGCATCTAAATAGGGTGAAATAAAATACTATACCTTTACACATACTTTTACTGATTTCAATTCATAAAAAAACTTTAATCAACAGTTACTGAGTATGAATCTATATTATTCTCTGAACTAAAAAAATAAGTTTTCTATAATGCCTCCTATTCTCTGAAAACTAACTTGCCACAGAGGGAAAGAGAATTCCTCTTTTCCTATAAAGCATGGCCACCTACAAGGAAACAGGACTGGGTATGAAAGAGAAAAAGAGAACAACTTAAAATACTTTCACGATGTAAAACAACTGAAAGTAAAGAAAGACATACAGCACAAACCCCGGAGGAACCAAGAGGAAACACAGTCTTGAAGGATGGAAAGAAAAGCAGAAAACAGAACTCAACATTATTTACATAAAATCACTAAGTACCAGGTGGCTTTCTTTTTCAAGCCCCTTTTGTATTTAAATAAGATATTACAATTATTTCCTTCCAGCACCCTTCCTTTACTCTTAAGTATTCAGGGAAGCCACCTCAGCTTAAAATCGGGGTGGGGCACCCCTCAGAAGAATTAATCTTAAAGATAATTTCTGAAGACATAAAATTAATTTTGAGGGCTGAATGTCTCCTTTCTCCTCTGCACAGACTCTGATAAGACCCCACCTCCCCACCTCGGCCAAGAATCATGGTAGGACCAAGACAGGATAAGGATCCCTTTAATATACAGGAGCAGGAAGGAAAGGCTGAGAATCACTAAGATGAGCTAATTTTGCATCTGATAAAAAGCTATTTTCAAGAAAAGTGACAGAAACTTTTTCAAGTATGTTTCTCTCTGAAAAGAAGAACATACTTCAAATAAAACGAAACAAACACAGACAAGAATAAGTTACACTGCTTATAAGCACTGACATTCTCAGAGTGCCTGTACTAAACAGGTACCATATATCTATGCAAAACCTAATCTTATTTGTGTGCTCAGCTGCTCAGTCATGTTTGACTCTGACTCCCTGACTGTGGCCTGCCAGACTCCTGTATCCGTGAAATTTCCCAGGCCAGAATACTGGAGTGGGCTGCCACTTCCTACTCCCGCGGCTCTTCCCAACCCAAGGGCTGAACCCATGTCTCTGGTGTCTCTGCACTGGTTGGCAGACTCTTTACCACCAACGCACCTGGGAAGCCCAGCCTTATCTACAGCTCCATAAAAAATAAACGTCATTTTTCATGTTTTCAAGCCTTAAAACATTTTTTTAAAGTACATTTTACTTTGTTTACCAAGCACTCTGAAAAGGAACATTATCTCAATTAGTCTTCGCAGTACCCCATATGAAATATGCATCATTATCCCCACTTTAAAGAAAAAGAACATGAGGTTCAGATATAAAGTCATTTGCCCAAGGTGCACAGGGCAGGAAGGGGCAGAGCATGAACCCAGCTCTGCTCACTGAACTTTCTTCTACTAACATCTCTGCTTAGTAATATATTCCTTCAAAACACATCTGG